CCAAAACTATCATAGAACCATAGAGGAATGGGCCCCAAGGGCCATTGAGTCCACTCTTTTGCTCAGTGCAGGATCTTCAGTTCGAACAGTGGTTCCTGATCTTTTCCCCTCCAGATGTTTTGGACTTCAACTCCCAGAAGCCCCAGCCAGCTTGGCTAGCAGTCAGGAATGATGGGAGCTGAAGTTCCAGAATGGCCATGAAGGGAGAGAAGATGCAGGCGCAGCTCCACCATGGCTAGCCCCAGAGGAAGATGGTCTTCCATGCATCATAACTGTTACCACCCTGGGCTTGGATGGAAAGAAAAACTGGCAGTATTTGTTGGACGTGATCCCCTTCTCCTCTGCCATTCCTTCTCCCTTTGAGTCATGTCTTTTTAGATTATAAACTTGAAGGCAGGGAACTGTCAGTTTAGTAATATGAGAGCTTTTTTGGCTGAAGATTGTGATATACATACTCTTAAGTCCCAAACATCTGGAGGACCAAGTTTCAGAACCACTGAGCTAGAGGATCCCCTACAGGTGGCTCTTCATGAAGACATCCAGAGGAGACCCCACCACTCCTCTAGGGTCCGATGCCAAACTGCTCTTACCATCAAGAATTTCTTTCTAATGTTCAATCGAAACCTACTCTTCTGTAACTAAAAACCATTCAATTCTACCCTCTGAGGCAGCCACGTCTGGGATTTTTGGTTTTCTTTTTGTGTTTATTTCCCCTGGAGGCTCCCAGGGCAAAAAAAATAACCACTTGGACCTATCCGGTTGCCCAACCCTGTTTTAAATGTATGTACCAAAACAGTGTGTGTACATCAAACAGGTATATACCAAAACGGAGTGGCTTAAGTGGTCAAGACGCTGACTCTGTTGATTGCAAGATTGGCAGTTTGAGACCCGGCTGCTGCGTGATGGGATGAGCTCCCAACACTAGTCCCAGCTTTGCCAACCTAACAAATGCAAGTAGATGAATAGGTACCACTTTGGTGGGAAGGTAAACAGCATTCTGTGCAATCATGCTGGCCATCACTAGTCCCAGCTTCTGCCAACCTAGCAGTTCAAAAGCATGCAATGAAAGTAGATAAATAGGTACCACTTTGGTGGGAAGGTAAACAGTGTTCTGTGCAATCATGGTCGCCACATGATCACAGAATAGTCTCTGACAACGCTGGCTCTTTGGCTTAGTAACGGAGATGAGCACCACTCCTCCGGTCAGACACGACTTGACAACCTTGTCAATGGGGAATACCTTTACCTTTACCAAAACTTTATTCCCAAGAGGCTTCCAAGATGATGTATATGAAGATCAAATATTAAGCAAAATACAAACAACATGTAGATCAGTCAGTATAATAAAACTGAGAGGCAGCGCAATTAAAAATAGCATCTGGAATCCTGTTGGGATGTTGCGTCTTCATAAGTGTACTCATGTTTGTGGGAATTAGAATTGCACACTTGTGCAACATCCAGTAGAGGGCTGCTGTTATGTTACTACACAGCAGAGCTGACAAAGTGCCTGAGATGCACTGATGGCTAATTCACAACAGGACCAATGCATTGGGCACCAGTCCGCATTAGGACACTTGGCAGTTTCACACATTTTTTACAATTCAATAACTGAGTTTCTTAGTGGTAGAATTCAAAGATATAGCCATGTTAGTCTGTAGAATCAGTATGTAGAGAGATCTTGTAGCACCTTTGAGACTAACTGAAATGAAGTGAGCAGCGTATGCTTTCATAGACTTCAGTCTACTTCCTCAGATGTAGTCTACTTCTTCAGATGCATATGCTTATAAGCTCATGCTGCCAACTTCTTTATTTCAATTAGTCTCAAAAGGTGCTACAAGATCTCTCTACATACTGAGTTTCTTACTGTCTTTGCTACTTACTAGATATATGCAAAGTTTCATTATGTAAAAGGTAATACAAGAGTCTGGTGAGCTTGTCTAAAATATCCATTACAGTACAACTGACCTTTTATACAGTAGTTTCCTCCTCACCTTTAAAAAATCAAACAATGTGGCTTCATCATTTTTAATTAGTTGCTGCCTGTTCATTGACCTGGCCATAACTTGATTTTAAAAGACATTAACAATGCCTGTTCCTATGCTCTCTCCTCAAGAGATGCAGAGCTAAGTTTCGATTTACACCAGGGTAGTCCCTCATTAATTTAATAATTAATAATAATATATGGGTATTAATTGCCTCTTGGAACCACTAGGGTAAAACTCCAGAACAAAGAAAGATTCCAGAAATCAAAAAGTAGTCACACTTGATTTATTTAACAAAAATAACACTTTGGACGTTTTCACACGGGGTCTAAAGCAGTGCAATCCCCGTTGCATCCCCGTCCCATTCTGGATCCTTTGCCCCTGTGTTCACACGACGTCGCAGCAAACCCCGCCCCATCCAGTGCCATCCCCGTCGCATCCCCATCCCATTCCAGATCCTTTTTTCGTGTGTTCACATGACGTCGCAGCAAACCC